ACATTTTTCTCGCATGTTCTTTTACCTTTCTCTAACCCAGAATGTACAGATTAGACAAGATCAGAACATGTAGCCAGGGGGCGCTGTGGTACCTTTTATTTCATCCTAAACTTTTGTGTAGTTGACCGAAGCAACGAATGTCTGATTTTATTTATTTATTCTTTACAATGCATAAAGAGGTGGATAAAAAGCAAATGGCTCAGACTGTAACGTCTGTTCAGCAGAGGTCTTACCTCCATTGGTGTCTTGTCCCTGCAGTCCCTCAGCACTCACTACATGAACCTGAGTGACCAGCTGAGGGTAGCCACACATCCCTGTCCAACAAGTCTGAGGAGGCTCATCCAGAGTCAGCTCTCTGCAGAGGGAGGAAAGTATAAACCCTTTAGTTTTACATCCTGTAACCAGTTTAGGCTCCAACAGAACAACAGATTCTGTTTCTGTTCTTATTGGACGTATAAACAGGAGTTCTTAAGGATACAAGGCTTTGATAGTTTGTGTAACTTGCTACAAAGAACATTAGACCATTAAAATCTGATAAGGTAGTTGGAGAAACATCATTTTAGAATCTCTGAGCATCTTAGTCCACTTTTTAGCCTTTATGTTTTAGTGCTTTAGTTTTTTTCTATTTTATGTTTTATTTACACTTATCCCAAACATTCTTACATTAACTTGCAGCAGTAAATAACCTCATACATCTGGAAAAGGTGTTTGCATGCAAAATTATTAAGCTTTCCGTTTTAGTTTAGTCAAAGGTATTATTTTATTCGGGATGATCACAGAAGTAAGAAACCTAAAGGAGGAATAACAAAAAAAAATTCTCACTTTTACCTGCAAAGGCCGTTTCATTCCTTATAAAACATCAGAGATCTCATTTTGTAAAGGCTTATTAAAGTTTCTCTCATTTCTAACCTAGAACTAAAGAGATAAAGTACTTTGGTGGTGTGAGTAGCCTGTGTTTACTTCCTGGTCCCTGAACCAATCGTATGAGGGTTGTCAAAACAGAATGCAGCATTTGAAATCTTATGTTGGCTAAAGAGAATTAGCCTAAAAACATGGAAGCCAATGAGAGAAGTGGGCCAGAAACAATCACGACATCCTTCAAAGCTGCAAACAAAAACTTACTGTACTGTTACATTAGTACAGCGTACTAGGTGCTGCCTATTTTGTGTGTTGTTGCAAATTGAAACCCTGCTACAATTACTTATTTCCCCTTTAAATGATCCTCAGGATAACTTAAAGTCATAGGGAAGCGGCTGTTCCAACTGTTGCATTTCCGAATTATCCCGAGTGAAACGCAGGTTGTTGTTTTTTTTTACATTGAGCCCTTACGTTATTCCATCATGTTCTACTCAACCACATGAGTTTAGTGTCATTTGGAGCTGTTCTCAAGATATTCCTTTAGGTTATATCAAAGTAACTTCTTCCTATGAGCAACGATTTGAAGGCACAAACTAGACTGTTCATAATTTATCATTTACGGTACGCCATCATAACATGTAGGCGAATCACTGTCCCCCAGACATCTGCGGTTAGATTTTTTATATTTATATCTTTTAAAAACGAAGCGGCACGTGTAAAGCACCTTGATTGAAGGTGTGACATAGTGACAGAAGCGAGGCTGACAACAGGCCCTCTGACCACCATCAGTTCTTCCCCAAGAATACAGCGACTAATGCTACATTCAGACAGTACGCAGCAAAGGCAGCAAAAACGCGCCTGCTGCTAAATTTCTGATGCTTGTACAAATTTAGTTCTGAAGCGCGGCTGAAGCATCTTTGCTGCTCTAGCTGCGCGGTCGAAAAGTGGCTCTGATGCACGTTGGGCGGAGCTACCCTATCCTTTCTTTGCCTGGAACAATTGCAGCTATATTTGCTGTGATCAGAGGGTAAAAAGTAGTTTGAATCTATGTTGAAGTGAGAAAGTCCATCTGAAAACCTAATCTGTGCAGTTCATCCAGATTACCATCCTGCCTTCAATTATTATTTTGCTGTAGGAGCCACTCAGACCCCCGTACACTGGCGATGCGCTGTCAACGGTAGCCTCTGGTCTCTTCTTTGTGGTTTTCCACTACTGTTTGCGGCGGCTGGATAGCGGTTTTCACGTATGTAATCCAAACTGCAGACACCAGAATAATAAAATCGTATATATTTTTTAGGGGTGTGGGAAATAATCGTTTTGGCGATATTCGGCTGCTCAATATAATATCGATCCTTCACTTCTTAGTATCTATTTTAAAAAAAATGGTTACATAAAACATTGATGGGAAAATGGGCTACCTCT